TGACACCTGACACCTGAGGAGTGACACCTGACACCTGACACCTGAGGAGTGACACCTGACATCTGAGGAGTGACACCTGAGGAGTGACACCTGACACCTGAGGAGTGACACCTGACACCTGACACCTGAGGAGTGACACCTGACACCTGACATTTGAGGAGTGACACCTGACACCTGACACCTGAGGAGTGACACCAGAGGCTATTTTCTGTCTCCACACACACACTCCTATATACAAGGATGAGGCTAACGAAGGCTGGAGAGATGGCACAGTGGTGGAGAGTGTTCTATCAGAAAACGGAGCTGGGTTCCCAGCTCCCACATCAGGCAACTCACAACCTCCTGGAACTCCAGCTCTAAGGAATCCAGTGCTCCCTTATGGCATCAGTGAATACACACACACACACACACACACACACACACACATACATACATGTACACACACATACATGTACACACACATACATACATATACACATACATACACACCACATACACATACACGTACATACACACATATACATACACACACACATATATACACATACATACACACATATACATATACACCACACATACACATAGACATACACACACATACATACACACACACATCAAATATTTTCCTTAAAAAAAGAACAATTTTTTAGAACATTTTAAGATGAGCTAAAGACAGTTGTTATTTTTTTCATTTAACCTCTATTAAGGTGTTATATGCACACATAAAAAAAAGAAAGAAAAGAAAGAAAGGGGAAAAAAGCCCAGCTGCACAGCCACACCATAATGGGGCTCCCTGTTTGCTATTGATCCCTCCCTGGAACCAGGTCTTGCCTAAACTGCTTTCTCTAATGATAGCTTCGCCTTTTTCTAGAATTTCCTAGAGTGCATTTACACCTGTTCCCTTCTCATGTGACATGTGTTGTGGACACAAGCAGAATCCTAAATTACAGAAGCCACACAGAAAGGCTGTCCTCTGCCGGGAGATGACCCCAGGCAGGCTTTGCAGACACTGTGGTCCTTTAAAGCCATGAGACTTTAGGGACAATGATAGCTGACCCTTGAGGGATTTCTTTGTGCCAGATGCATATAAGCAAAATACTTTACATAAATTATATAGATTACCTCATGGAATCGTCTCAGCAGCCCTAGGAGGTGGATCATTTACATGATCATCTAAATTGACTTAAAACAGGGATTGGAGACTCTCATTTAAAAACAAAGAGCTACAGACTAATTTAATGGATTTTATTCAGCCCCCATTTTTTTTTTTATTTTAGCCAAGTTGTCCCCTAAGGAACAGCTGGTAATGTCTAGAAATATTTTTCATTATCATGACGAAGAGGATGCCGCTAGTGGCATCTAGTGGAGAGAGGCCAGGAACAGAGCTAAATGTCCTCCAGAGCATGAGATGGACGACACCTACCGCGAAGAGATTCCCCGCCCCAGATGGCAAGAGTGCCAGGGCTGAGAAGCCTGGATGCTGGCCTTTAGCAGGCATGAGATGTCAGAAGCACGCAGAACCTGGCAGAATGCGTGGCTTTGCATCACTGAAAAACCTAAAAGGGACCGTGGCTAGGGAAATGGCTGAGCTCATAAGTGCTTACTGAACAAGCCTGAGGACCCAAGTTCAAATCCCCAACACCTCCCCATGGTGTACGTGTCTTTTTCCCAGTGCTGGCATGTGGGGACAAGAGGACCCCTGGGGCTTTCTGGTCAGCCAGTCTAACCAAACCAGTAAGATCCAGTTCAGTGAAAGATCCTGGCTCAAAAAATGAGGTGAGGAGCGATTGAGGACAATACCTGTCTTTGACCTCTGGCCTCCACACACACATATGCAAATATACACACACATGTACACATATACATATATGTGCACACACATACACACACTAAAAAGGCTGTTTATACAATCTGTGCTGGACATGGTGGCGCACACCTGTGACCCCAACACTCAGAAGACTGAGGGAATAAAGGTCACCTTGTCACATAGCCTGGACTACATGATACTTTGCCTCAAAACAACAACAAATGTAAAGAATAACCTTATTACATCTCTTCAAAATAGTTTATGATTTATATCCATCTGCCAGAAGACTTGACCATTGTAAGGAGGGAAAACCACCTCAGGGGGAAGTGCTGAGCAGGGGGTCCTGTCTTCAGTGGTGGGAGGTGGGCCCAGAGCATCTCTGACAGAGTTGACCAAACCCAAATTAGTAACAGCCTGCGAGCAGATTCCTTCTCTCCTCCATGGCACTAGACTCTCTGTAACAAAAGTCCGAGAAGGAGAGGGCTTTGTCAGCTTTCTCTGAATAGGAAGTAGTCTCCTGGGCTTGGTGAAACCCTTGATCTGAGCTGGTATCAGCACAGCTCTTACTGGAGTCCCGTGGACACAGGCGTGCTCACAGGCAGAGAACTAGCAGAAGGAACTGGATCTGGGCATCCTGGGGACAAAGCTCCTCCATAGTCACAAAGCTGAGATAAGTAGAGAGAGCCCCCACAGGTGGCATGATGTAGGAACCATGAGCAGGATTGGGGATGCTGTCCTCTCAAATACAGCATTCCTGGGTACCGCTTGTGTGACATGTCCTCACAGCCCACAGGATAGCTCATCTCCTTTGGACTATAGAGCTACACTCATGTGGATAGCTGAGTAGAAACCTACAATGATGTCCTCATCCTGATCCCTGAAGCTAGTGAACACATCACTTACTTGATAAAAAGACACTTTGCAGACATAATAAAGTTGTGCATCTTGAGATGGGGAGATACCCTGGATTAGTAGGGCCAGCCTGAGGTGACCACACAGTCCTTACAAGGGGGCCAAGGAGCATCCGTGTGATGATGGCAACAGGGAGACAGACAGAGAGACAAGATGCTACATCCCCGGCTTTGAACTTTAAGGAGTCACAGAACGCATCTGCCTCTAAGATTGGAAGCTGGTGAGGAGGTGACTCTTTTTCTAAAGCCCTGGGAAGGAGTGCAGCCCTGCCTACACATTGGCATTAAATCCAGGAGACTCATTTCAGATCTGTGACTTCCAGAACTGTCCAGAAGTACATGTGTGTGGTTAGAGGTTCATGAGACTGTGGCTACTTGTTTTGTCAGCAATAGGATGAATCTGGTGTTTCAAGAGATAACAACAGGTCTTTGTTCTGTGGCAGAATATATATTATATATATATATTATATATATTATATATAATAGGATATATTCTATAATATATATGGTCAGATAGATGATTGATGAATACATGATAGATGATAGATAGATAGATAGATAGATAGATAGATAGATAGATAGATAGATAGATAGATAGATGATGTGTAGGTAGATAAATGTCTGATTAATAATAAATCTATCTGCTTGATTGATTGATCATAGGTAGATGTCTGATTGACTAAAGATAGTTGGATAGATAATTGATAGATGATAGAGAGAGAGGAATGCCTCTACATGGGATAATCATTGCTTGGTCTCTGGGCTCTGTTCAGTGTGTTCCTAGCCCAGCACATCCATGCTAATGATCGGAGCACAAGGCTCAATTGTAGCAGTGCCACCAGCTGCTGTCAGTCTCAGGGACGAGCTTTGGTGCCTGGAGCCATCAGCACTTTAAGAAGCCAGCCTTTATGTTTACCGGGGATGTGCTGGGCCTCACCTACCAAGAAGTCCTGTACCGCTGGTCTGTAATCATAGCTGCAAGTCCAACTTCTTCAGATGTAGCCAGTAAGATAATCCTGTCTTCAAATGCCATGCTGAAGAAGAAGATAATGTTCAGGGGAGTGTGGTGCGTGTTGGAGCTGTCGATCATTGGTCTGGTTTAGTTGAGTGTTTTGAAGTGAGTTGTGATATTCCCAACCTAATTCTGTACCTTCTCCACTCAGGTCTGTGAGAACACCACGACTGAAGCTTGACTCCCAAGTTGCCATAGCAACAGGAAAAAGAAAAAAAAAAGTCTATCCAAATCTGAAGATTGCCGTTTACAGCTCTGAAACTTCACAACCAGGCCTCAATTGTTCCACATCCTCCTTTTTCTTTGCGATTTCATTTCATCTGTACCTCACCATTTGATAGCATCTTCCTTCTTGCTTTGATTAATGGAACCCTCTGGATTTGCCCTGAATGTTTAAAGATCATGTGTGTCACTGGACCTTAGGGAGCAGGAACAATGACTACTTTTTCTGATGCGTCCACACGTTGCTAGACCGCGCTCCATCCATACAGCTGTGCGGTGGGTTTGTATCTGTACGTGGATGGGTATCTGTCGGTGTATATACCCAGTATTTATGTAGAAGACTGCAGGAGCCCCCTGCTTTTGAGATGCTTAGACAGAGGAGGTGGAAGCTCCAACAGCTGAGCTCTCCAGCCAAGGTCAGTCCACTGAGCCGTCCGTCCCTCACCTGTGCGGCAAAGCTGCACCGCCAGGGGCCTGCTCAGTCTAAACCCTGAATGCCGACCCACCAGCCAGGCAGGTCCAGGGGTTGGGGATGGGGGAAGGGCAAGGGAAAGAAGTCTTCTCTCCTTAGTAGGACTTGCCACCACTTCCCACTGCCACCAAATGCCATGGTCCTGACTCCCAGGTGGGGAGTGAGGAATCAGAAGCTAAGGGCTGAACTACTCTCCCACGGGCAAGAGTCTGTAACTGTACCACCCCAGACCCACAGTCCTCCAGTCCTTAGGATAACAAAGATCATGAGGAAGACCCTCTCCCTCCCTGGTATATGTACAAGTGCAAATGTCATCGTGGTGTACCTATAAAGAGACCAACAGGCACCATCTTGTATGCACATATATTACCCACACATGTACACACGCATTACGCATATCCACGCCGTTTGTTTCATATATACAGGCATAAAATAGAGTAAACCCAGGTAGTTTTTAAAGTACCCTTCCGTGTGACTACCGTTGTTCGCAAAGCTGAGAATAAAAAGTTGTTCATTATGTCTGGAAAGGAATTGAGTTTTGTCCTGTGAGCATGTCAGGTTAAGAATGTTAATGCTCCCACTGAGATTATCTTCTCTTTGACAAACTGTAAATGAACCATCGAAGCTCACACCAAATTTTTTTTCTATCAAGGGAAGCTAGCGCCAGCCTGTGGCTTTAGAGCTCAGAATGAGCTAGGGTAAGATAAGGGTCTTAGTATATTTTAACGCTGTTGCTTACAAAAGGTTTTAACCCCACACACACACTTGCGCACACATGCTTTCTTATGCAATCTATGTTGGCCCTGTGCTTTTGAGTTCACCTTCTGCGGGCAATAGAGTCATATGTTGTCTTTGTTGTAGTGAGATTAAGCGAGTAGAGGTCCACATACTGCTCTTTGTTTCCATAGTCAATCTTTTTGGACCATATAGAATGCAGAGATTTTTTTTCATTAAAATAAATGGGTATCAGTGGTTAAAACTGCTGGCCAGTAGCTCTGATCTGATTTCTACATTGTGTCTAGTGCGTCTGATGCTGGGTTCACGTTTTGGACCACTCAGGATCCCCTCTCTATCTGTTAGATGAATGGGTCTAGAAAACTGGAAGGGGGCAGCTAGAGAGAGGGCTCAGTGGTTAAGAGTGTTTGTTCCTCAACATGAGGACTAGTGCCCAGATCCCAGTACCCACCCCAAACCAAGCATCCCCACAGAAAAACCCAGCTGTCGGCGGGGGAGGTGGACAGAGACAGGAAGATCACTAGGACTTGCTGTGTTCCAGCCTAGCCAAGACAGCCCACGTTCAGGGGGAAACCCTGACTCAAAGGAACATGTGGGGAGTGACAGAGAACACCTGATTGCTCTCTACTCTACTTGTATATACAACACACACACACACACACACACACACACACACACACACACACACACACACACGAAAGCCAAAAACTCCAACACACAAGTTGTGTAACAGGCATGCCATGTCTAGCATAAGGATATGACTTAATCATATGACAGTAAACTGTGAAGTTGACTGGAGACTTCCAGGCCCAGCCTCCACCCTCAATTGGATGAACACAAGAAGCATAGTCGTTCATATCTTCATAGTTCCCAGACATGGAGATCTTTTAAATAAAAGATGCCACATCTTGAACTTGGCCTAAAGGTTCTCTGTGGGTGCATGGCCTGGTACATGACAGGGGAGAATCGGAGCCTGCACATTCACACTTTACAAGATGGTCCTCTTCTAAGCCTACCTGGTAAACCCCATTGCTCTGCTCTCCTCCTGCAAGGCAGGGAAAAGGGGAATGGTCACCCTTGAATGGACCAAAGAGCATCTTCAGGTCCTTGAAGGCAGCCTGAGCCACATACTAAGCAACAGCCAGGAAACTCCTCCTTCAGTGTGAACCCAAGGCATCTCTAGAGCCAGTGCACAGCTCAGTGATGCACCTGCTGAAGGAAACAGGAGCAAGACGCCTCCCTTACACTTTGTATAGACTGTAACTTAGCTAAGAACACAGAACAAGAGAAGTCAAGTCCAGGGGTTAGTGGAATAGTTCAATTGATAAAGCGCTTGCCTCAAAAAGATAAGGTTTTGAGTTCAGATTCCCAGAACCCTTATAAAAAAAACAGGCATGGTGGTATACATCTGTAATCCCAGCAAAGGTGAGATGGGAGACAGACAAATGGAGCCCTGGAAGCATGCCGGCCAGCCGCTCTAGCCTACTTTGTGAGGCAAAGGAGAGACCCTGTCTCAAACAAAAGGAGGAAGGCTATCTGATTTTCATGGTTGATACCAAATAAGACTTTGACTCTCAGAACAGAGGAGGAATTTGATGGCTCTGGGAAGACTCTCAAACTATCATTTCTAAGAGTCAGATGCATGGAGATAGGTCAGTTTTTAAACAAAATAAATACATCATGTCTCATTCTGAAGATACAAGCAGATCATTATGAAGGTCCTTTCTACTTTTTTTTTTTTTTGAGAGAGAGAGAGAGAGGGTCTCACATAGCCCAGCTGGCCTCACACTCCCTATGTAGCCAAGGATGACCTTGAACTTCTCCTTCTGCCACCTCCACCTCTCGAATGCTGGAATTCAAGTGTGTGCCATCATGCCCAGTTTACAAGGTGCTGGGGACGGAAGCCAAGGCTTTATGCATGCTAGGCAAACCCGCTCCCAACAGAGCTGCAGCTCCTGCCTGCTCATCGAGTCTGTACTTTCTGTTTCAACATGAGACAGCTCCCAAATCAAGAGAACGGAAGCTGAGAGAAGACACAGCTCAGGTAAGTGGCTGCTAGGACCATTCACGTTCCCCTACTACAGGACGGTATCACAGCTCTGGACTTAGCAGCATCAGCAGACCAAAGGCCTATTGCAGGCCAGAAGACTGTGATCGGAATCCCCGCCAGAGTGCCTATCCATCGACACCAGTATTATGGTTTGGGTATAAAATGTCCCTGCATACTCATGTGTTGAATGCTTGGTTCCCAGTCATTTGTTTTTTTGTTTGTTTGTTGTTTGTTTTGTCTTGTCTTGTGGGGTGGTGGCATTATCCAGAAGCATCAGAAAGTGTCTAAATGGAGACAGTAGGCCCCTGAGGGCAAGCACTTAGCAGGATCTTGTGCCTAGATGCTTCTTGTCCTGTCTTTACTACCTGCTGTGCCATGAACTACCAGGCTCTACCACATCCTCCTCATGGAGACAGATGCCCCAGGGACCATGAGCCGAGATAAACCCGTCCTCAGGTTGTCTCTGTGGGATACTTTCATCGCTGAATAGCAGTTACTAATACGACCAACTTATGCTGAGATGACAGTGCCTTGCACTGAGAGTTACCTTCTTCTGTTCAGCACCCCTTCCTGATAGAACCTTCTGCTATTAAGTCCCTGTGATGCTAAGAAGTGTCAACGCTGTGCTAAATTCATATTGGAACTTAGAAATTTCTCCCATACACAACATTGCCATTTCTTAAGTATCCCCAACTCTTTCTGGAATAAGCCGTGGCTCATTAAGACATATGTAAGGGCTTCTAGCAGATTTTTTTTTTTAAAGATTTAGTTGTTGTTGTTGTTGTTGTTGTTGTTGTTGTTGTTTGTGTGTATGTTCTATCCGTGTATATGCAAGTGCTTGCAGGGGTCAGAAGAGGGTGGCAGATCCCCCGAAGCTAGAGTTACAGGCAGCTGTGAGCCACCCAGCACATTTGATGGGATCTGAACTCAGGTCCTGTGCAAGGGCAGCAAGCACTCAGTCACTGAGCCGTGTTTCCAACCTCGGCCAGATTAATTCCTATACTAATTATCCAAAAGTCAACCCCATGTCCTCCCGGATGCCCACTCACTCCCAAACCAGGAGAGAGAAGAGGATGCTGAGGGAGAAGGTAGTGCGAGGTTCCCCAGCGCGTGGCCTATGCCTGGCTACAATCCCAAGTCAAATTAGGCCACATCTACAGGATCTCTGAGCAGTTTCTGGTTTTGTAAATGTAACCAAGAGATCTCTCTAGGTACGCTTGCCTTACGTATGCATAAACAGATCAATCACACCAAAGAAGAAAGGCTTCCCTTTCTGTAGACTCCTAAGCCACCATCAACATCATCATCGTGGAGAGATCTGGCTGTGCCTCTCAGAGATGGTTGCAGCCATTTTCTCTCCTCCTCAGACAGTAGCACAAACAAGTCTCATAACCTCGTGGGGAAACGCTTTCATCGATGTTCACCCAAAGCCTGTATTAACTTGGCTCCCTCTATTTCATCTTGGTAATGAAGTGGCCCACTATTTACCAAAATCTATAGCTCTAGATCTGTTCAGTAAAAGCAAATACAATCAATAGGCACCCATGGTGAGGCACACATGCAATCTAAGCCCCTGGGAGACAGGGCCATGAGGACCAAGAGTTCAAGGTCATCCTTGCCTATAGAACAAATTCATGGCCAACTGGGCTACATGAGATCTTGTCTCATCCTCCCCCTACTGATAGATAGTGTTATAATTTGAATGTAAAGTGTCCCACACAGGCTCACATGTTTTAGCACTTGGCCCCTAGCCGGTAGTGCTGTTTGGGAAAGTTGTAGAGTCTGTAGCAAGCAGGTCACCAGAGGAAGTGGGTCACACCTTGAGGCTACCTTCTTCCTGAGTTCTAATGCAATGTGATCAGACATTCTTAGCAGAGAGAGAGAGAGAGAGAGAGAGAGAGAGAGAGAGAGAGAGAGAGAATAGGGTAATATTTTATAAGTGCTTCTGTGGGCCAAATATTGCACTTTTTTTAAAGATTTATTTTTTATTTTATGTGTATGGGTGTTTTGCCTGCATGTATATCTGTGCACTATGTGAATGCCTGGTATTCCCAAAGGCCAGAAGAGGGCAACTAATTTCCCGAAACTGAAGTTCTAAACAGTTGTGAGCTGCCATGTGTGTCCTGGTAATCGAACCCTGGTCCTCTGGAAGAGCAACCAGTGCTCTTAACAGATGAGCCCTCTCCCCATCTCCAACACGGCATATCTTTGTCTGTATATATGGATTACACTTCTCATTACATATGAAACATATATAATATGTAATTCTCTTTGTAGCCTACACAATTCATGGGACATTAAAAATAGTATCATCTCCCTTACACAGATGAAGCCGCTGAGACTCACAAACCATCTCTAACTGGGTCTTCTTTTCCTCTTTTATTGAAAAAAAGGATATTTTCTCATACACTGTATCCTGATTACAATTTCCCCTCCCTCTACTCCTCCCAGTCCCTCCCCACCTCCCCTCCCCTTTGGATCCACTCTCTTCCTGTCTCTCACTAGAAAAGAACAGGTTTCTAAGAGATAACAACCAAAATGAAAAATTACAATATAAGATGAAACAAAAACTATCATATCAAAGTTGGACACGGCAAACCCAACAGGAGAAGAATAATCCTAAGAGCAGGCACAAGAATCAGAGACCCATTCGTTCTCACAGTGAGGAGGCCCAAAAAACACTTAGCTAACAGCTATAATATATACACAGGACCTGATGCAGACCGGGTGTAGGCCCTGTGCTTGCTGCCTTAGTCTCTGTGAGCTCATCTGCACCTCACTTAGTTGATGCAGAGGGCCTTGTCCTCCATCCCCTCTGGCTCTTATAATCTTTCTGCCTCCTCTTCTGTGGGACTCCCTGAGCTCAAGGGAAGGGATGTAATGGAGACCTCCAATTTAGATTCTCTCTCCATGTAATGTCTTGCTGTGGGACTCCGCATCTCTTCCCATCTGCTGCCAGAGGAAGCCTCTCTGGTGATGACTGGATAAGGCAATGATCTATGAGTATAGCAGAATATCATTAGTAGTCGTTTTATTAATTTTTTTTTAGACCAGTAGTGTTTGGTTTTT